TAAAAATTATTTTTTTTTCCAATTGCTCAAGAATAGGACCTAAGCATTCATGCTTTTTGAAAGCACCCAGGTGATGTCAGTGCAATGCACTGCTCTAGAGAAGGTTCTAGTCTAGTGATGGCGAACCTATGACACGCGTGTCAGAGGTGACACGCAAAACTCATTTTTTGGGTTGCTTTTTCTTTGTTAAATGGCATTTAAATATATAAAATAAATATCAAAAATATAAGTCTTTGTTTTACTATGGTTGCAAAGATCAAAAAATTTCTATATGTGACACGGCACCAGAGTTAAGTTAGGGTTTTTCAAAATGCTGACACGCCGAGCTCAAAAGGTTCGCTCACCATCACTGGTCTAGTCCCGGACAGGGCAGCACAGCACAGTGCGGGAACCTGAATTCGGTTGGTCGCCAACGTGAGAAGCTGAGTTCCCACATGTGCTCTGCAGCTGGAGCCCCAAGCATTGTTTTTGAAACATTAAACATTCCTTTTACTTCTCCATCTTCTTTCTTGGCACGTGGCATGTCAATGCATAGCTCTACTATTCCCTCGATATGATATTTAACAGATTCTGGGGTCTATCGTAATGAATCAGCCGCAGTGTGATACCGGTCCAGCAGCTTGAATTGCTTCCAACTCAAACTTCTGTGGCCTCAGAATATGATTAATTGCTTTTCATTGTTACTGTTGTTGGTTTAAACAGACCATAAAACCTGACATCTGATCTCATACATCAGATGCATATAAGCTATGACTGCTGATTGGAAATGCCCTTCTACTGCACTTCCTTTCCCTTTGTAGTTGTAGCTGAAGAACATGCATTTCTTGATGTTATTGTTAACTTATTGCTGAGCATCTCTTAAGGCCAGAGCTTCAGGAAGTGCCTTCTGCTCTAGGTTCCTGAATCAAGCCACGAATCTCTACAGTACAGCGACGGTGGTGCCCATTAACCATATTTTCTTCACAACCAGTGCCATTATTGCAGGTGAGTTTTGGCTTTCTGTACTTAGGTGTTCTACTCCCACAACACACATATGAGAAAAGCAAGGAATCCTTTGGTTATTAGGATCTGCATAAGCCATGTCCTCCCAGCCTCACACAGTGTCTAGGTTTCCTCCATAACCCCTCTAGGACACGCTCTTCAACTGGCTGCGAGTGCTCCCCAGGCCGTCCGCCTCCCGAGACAGCTCAGTCCCGTTTTAAATTACTCTAATTATTTTGAGAGCTCTAATTATTAGAAAGTGTTTCCTTATATTGGACAGAAACTAGCCTCCCTGTGAATTCAAGACACTCACCTTAATTCCACTTTCTGGAGTCCTCTCCTTGCCAGCCCTGCTGGTGAGCAGAGCAGTGGAAGGGTCCTCTTGTGTCTTGTCTTTGGGCCAAACACCTCAGGTCCATTCACTCGTCCGTCTCTGGCCTTCACCACCTGGATCAGAGAGTGGGGCCCAAAACAGAACCCAGTGTTCCAGGAAGGCCAGACAGATGAGAACAGAAACTACTGCTTTTGCTGTTCTGGCCTCTGTTTTTCTACTATTGCATTCTTTTATTTTTATGGACAGTTTTTTAATGTGTCAGACACAATAGTGGTTTTTTAAAAATATGACATTTAAACTTGGTAGATCCAGGTATATCACTCCTACGTTTGGTACTGATTTCCCCCTTGTTCTTTGGCTTATTGGATAAATTCACCGCTGTGTCATATTGAGATTTCATTTCCTATTGCAAAATGTCTGTATTTTGGAGGTAGGTAGGGGATTATCTGTTTCCTAATTGGCTCATCTTTTTTACTTCATGGCAAGCAATATGACTGCCAGTGGGCAATTTTTAAAAGTAATTAATACGTTTTCTGGGTTCTCTTTGGCATGTTCAAATTGCCAGCATCACTTACTCTTGTGCTTTGGCGCCATTATTAAGGGTGACTTGAACCCAGGCTCTACACTGGCACATGGTCAACCTGACAACCAAGACGGCTGCTGACTCAGGATATACAGCATGGATATGCTGGACAGAGGGAGGCCTCATGTCCCGGGGATGTGGGATTTCGTCATGCAACTCAGGACAGCCTGCAACTTAAAACTTAGGAATTGTTTACTTCTGGAATTTTTCACTTAATATTCTTGACCCTGGGTAACAGAAACCACAAAAGCGAAACCGAGGCCAAAGGGGGCCTCCTCTATTGACATAAGTTGAAAAACAATGTGTAGCTATTGTAAATATGCTTATCCTAAAATGTTGTCTTCTATTCCTGTTATAGGCATCGTATTTTATAGGGAATTCCTTGGTGCAGCTTTTCTCGCCATGTTTATATATTTTTTTGGGTGAGTAAATGTCTGAGTTAAGCTATATGAAATGCTATTACTTTTATGTAGGATTGTTGGCATTGTACGTGAGGCCTAGAAAACTGGAAAATTATAGAAGAGACAACCGTTTCCTGAGCTCCTAAAGGAAACATTTTTCAATTTAACACCCTACACAAGGCTCAGTGACTTTTGACTTTGTGATTTAGGTATCTGTCCGAGGGTTCTGAAACACTGGGGACTTTCAGTTCCAGCCAAAGTCAAGTTAAATCCGCTGGCTCCTTGTAGCTACTCCATGCCTTTTCATACTATAGCAGACCTGTCTCACCCTTGGGGACCCCTAGGTTAGATCTCAATCAGGGAACCGTGGACACCTCTAGGATCACCTAGAATAAAAGACCACGGTGGGGAGATCTAGCTTTGGACCTAATGCCATCAGATTGGTGACATCCCTTTCCTGGTCTGGGCCCCCAGCTTTAACCCTTCATTGCTGGGCATCATTGCCAACATCCTCGCAGAGAACAGGACTTTGACGGAGGATCACCGACTTATAGGATCATCCGTTGGTTCCAAATGGCAATCCAATGATGCTTAATGATTTTTTTTTCTTTATTAAGGTATTACATATGTGTCCTTGCCCCCCTCCCTGCCCCCCGCTAATGCCCTCACCCCCCTGGTGTCTGTGTCCATTGGTTATGCTTATATGCATGCATACAAGTCCTTTGGGTGATCGCTTCCCCTTACCCCTACCTTCCCTCTGAGGTTTGACAGTCTGATTGATGCTTCTCTGTGTCTGGATCTATTTTTGTTCATCAGTTTATGTTATTATATTCCACAAATGAGTGAGATCATGTGATATTTATCTTTCTCTGACTGATTTATTTCGCTTAGCATAATGCTCTCCAGGGTCCATCCATGCTGTTGCAAATGGTAGGAGTTCCTTCCTTTTTACAGCAGCATAGTATTCCATTGCGTAGATGTATCGCAGTTTTTTGATGGGCACTTAGGCTGTTTCTAAATCTTAGCTATTGTAAATTGTACTGCTATGAACATAGGGGTGCATATATCTTTTCAGATATCTTTTCTAATTGGTGCTTCTAGTTTCCTAGAAGTGGGATCACTGGATCAAATGGGAGTTCCATTTTTAGTTTTGAGGAAACTCCATACTGTTCTCCACAGTGGCTGCACCAGTCTGCAAGCTCACCAGCAGTGCAAAAGGGTCCCGTTTTCTCCACATCCTCTCCAGCATTTGTCATTTGTTGATGATAGCCATTCTGACAGGTGTGAGATGGTACCTCATTGTTGTTTTGATTTGCATCTCTTGGATGATTAGTGACTTTGAGCATATTTACATATGTCTCTTGGCCTTCTGTATGTCGTCTTTCGAAAAGTATCTATTTAGGTCCGTTGCCCATTTTTGGATTGGGTTATCTTCCTTTTGTTAAGTTGTATGAGTTCCCTGTAAATGTTGGAGATTAAACCCTTATCGGAGATAACTTTGGCAAATATGTTCTCCCATGCAGTCGGCTTTCTTGTTGTTTTGTTGATGGTTTCTTTTGCTGTGCAGAAGCTTTTTGTTTTGATGTAGTCCATTTGTTTATTTTCTCTTTAGTTTCCATTGCCCTAGGAGCTGTACTGGTGAAGATATTGCTTTGGCATATGTCTGAGATTTTGCTGCCTGTGGATTCCTCTAAAATTTTTATGGTTTCCTGTCTTACGTTTAAGTCCTTTATCCATTTTAAAAAATATATTTTATTGATTTTTTACAGAGGAAGGGAGAGGGATAGAGAGTTAGAAACATCAATGAGAGAGAAACATTGATCAGCTGCCTCCTGCACACTCCCTACTGGGGATGTGCCCGCAACCAAGGTACATACCCTTGACCGGAATTGAACCTAGGACCCCTCAGTCCACAGGCTGACGCTCTATCCACTGAGCCAAACCGGTCAGGGCCCTTTATCCATTTTTGAGTTTATTTTTGAGTATGGTGTAAGTTGGTGGTCTAGTTTCATTTGTATCTGTCCAGTTTTCCCAACACCATTTATTGAAGGGACTGTCTTGACTCCATTGTATGCTCTTGCCTCCTTTGTCAAATATTAACACTCCGGTGTGGGGTGAATTTCCCGCCAAAATATAAGATGGCTCTGTCTTTTGGTTTTGTTCCATCCACCAAAAGGGTGGATTACAAACAAATATTTGGTAATACACAGTTACAATCGGCCCGAGTTTACACGTTTCCCGCACTCCACCGCAAATCTATATGAACCGAGTTAAAGACGGCTCCCGCAGAGTACGCGCAATTCACGCGAGCCGACTTAACTCGTTTCCCCCACTCCAAGTGTTAATTGAGCATAGTGGTTTGGGTCGATTTCTGGGTTCTCTATTCTATTCCATTGGTCTATATGTCTGTTCTTGTGCCAGTACCTTTGTAATATAGTTTGATATCTGGTATTGAGATCCCTCCTACTTTGTTGTTCTTTCTCAGGATTGCTGCAGCTATTTGGGGTCTGTTTTTTTTCTTTATTCCAGATGAATTTTTGGAGAGTTCGTTCTAGGTCTGTGAAATATGCCGTTGGTATTTTAATGGGGAGTGCATTGAATCTATAGATTGCTTTGGGTAGTATGGACATTTTATCTGGTATTCTGCATGGCTGTTGTAATGCAAACTGGAGCCCAGACTACTCTCAGCATAGAAAACCATCTCTTGAAAATCCAATTTCATAAGATATTTGGGCAAGACTAAACTTCTGAGATCTGGAAACTGTGACTATTCTTATGGCCAAGGACAACTAAATTTCTTAGAAAATTAAAGAATAAATTTTTTTTTTTTTTTTTGCTCGTTTTGCATGCCAGTAATGGGTCTGGGCATGCATGGATAGAAAATGAGACTTAATGTCTACCCAAAGGGTTTAGAGCCTGAATTAGCCTCCAGATGGTAAAAAGCTGGGGCGGAGATGTCTTGGAGGCTCTCCAAGGCTTGGTTCTGAGGACAAATATTATTGGCTGCAGCAATTAAGACAAGTTTTAGGCAGCTTACCATGGGAAACAGGAAGAGCAAAACCAGTGGAATTTATGCCACCATGTGGAATACGGGGCTGTTATTTAATACCATGCGTTGTCTCAGCATTCTGTATTCATGTTATTCTTACAGGTGTTTTCTGTCATTCCTGGGTGTGTTGTTGGTCACAAGAAACCGAGAGAAGGAACATCTGCCACAGTCTTACATCGATTTGGGGAATATTCCCGGTAAAACTGTATATTCTTTCATTTACAAGAGAAAATGTTATCCTCATAAATTAATAGCTGCTGGTATGATTTTGGGTGTTAAATTCATAGAAAACATCATTATTTTCAAAACATAAGCACTTAATGATAATACCAGAGGTGATGTTTTAACTGTGCTAATACTCATCTATTTGAATGTCAGGTTTGCACAGAACACGGGCTCTGACCCTGTTCTCTTGATTTGGGTGATATGGCAGATTTCCTCTGTGAGTTTCCTTAAATTGGAAAAGGGGAGGAGAGGAACAGGGAAGGGCTCCTAGCAGCCGCCCCGGTGCTCGGAGGGCCTTTGAGGGACAATGAAAGGCAGAGGCCAGGCTGCTAAGGAACATCGTGCCTGAGGAAGGCGGCCTATGCACTGTGAGGCCAAGAGTAACGTTCTCCCCGGACACCTGAACACGAGTAGCTTCTTCCCCTCCTTCCCTCATTCATCCTGGTCCCTTTGACATGCCTCATCCTTCCAGGCAGTTCCCTACTTCCACTGAGAATCCCTCGCTTTAGTCATGCAGACCACAGAAGCAATGTCCAGAACAAAGGAAACACTCCCCTGTGTCCTGCCCTCCATCCTCAACAGTCTCCAGCTTTGCTAGGGTTTAGGGCAGTGAGGGCGAACCTTTTGAGCTCGGCGTGTCAGCATTAACTCTGGTGCCGTGTCACATATAGAATTTTTTTGGTATTTGAAACCATAGTAAAACAAAGATTTATATTTTTGATATTTTATATATTTAAATGCCATTTAACAAAGAAAAATCAACCAAAAAAATGAGTTCGCGTGTCACCTCTGACACGCGTGTCATAGGTTCGCCATCACTGGTTTAGGGTGACCTATGGGTTCCTAGACAGGAGTCGTGGTGTCCTCACAGGTCCCTCCACCATCCTGTTAGGACCAAGCCTTTGAAGCACAAACCATTAACGCCTCGTCGGCACGACTGAGAAAACGTGGCCCCGTGAATTCTGTGCTCTGTTTCCCACGTGAGCCATCTGATCGGCTAAGAGCGTTCAGTGCAAGAATTAAGAACTGGCGTTCGTGGCAAGGTGTGCATTAGGGCGGTGACCTGTATGGTTAGAGGTTTGGTAGGAAATGAAGTTCACTTATTTCCAACTCTTTTTCATTTCACAAAGCCCCGTGCATAGGATCAGTGGCCTTTAGAAGCCACTCTGAAAGGCTGCCTTTCTGTGTAGTTATGGGCGTTAGGCTCAACATAAAAGGAGACAGGGCTCCGGGGAGAAAGCTCTGGAGATGAGGGAATGCAATGTGTTAACCTCCCGGCCGACCCGGGCTGGTCTCCGTGCCCAGCGTGGCAGCCCCTGCGGGCGGGGAGACTGCCCTCTCCCCTGGGCAGTGCTGACCACATCGCGAGGGGCATGCAGTGCCCAGGGCCTTTCCTCCGCTGGCGTTTTCCTCTTTTTAGAGCAGTGGTTCTCAACCTTGGCTGCACAGTAGAATCACCTGGGGTGCCGTAACCGGTTTGGCTCAGTGGATAGAGCATCGGCCTGTGGACTGAAAGGTCCCAGGTTCGATTCCGGTCAAGGGCATGTACCTTGGTTGCGGGCGCATCCCCAGTGGGAGGTGTGCAGGAGGCAGCTGATCGATGTTTCTCTCTCATCTATGTTTCTAGCTCTCTATCCCTCTCCCTTCCTCTCTGTAAAAAATCAATAAAATATTTTTTTTTAAAAAATAATCACCTGGGAATCTTTTTTAAAATCCTGATTTCTGGGCCTCATCCTCCGGAAATTCTGTTTCTTTGTTACTAATGTTGTGGCCCCACCCCAGAACAAAGAAACAGAATTTCCGGAGGATGCGGCCCAGAAATCAGGATTTTAAAAAGATTCCCAGGTGATTCTAATGTGCAGCCAAGGTTGAGAACCACTGGTTTAGAGGGTGACCACCTAGTATAAAAAGGGGGGATGTGGCCCAGATAGAGGAGAAATTACTAAGACTTAGACTTCGCTAAGAGCTCGAACGATTTCTGTGTGATTGTTATCTCCGCAGGGAAACAGACGTTGGATAAAATACAACCAGATTCAAACGGTTTATCCCGTGGAACTTTGCCTGATGGAAGTGACTCAACAAAGAGCCGAAGTGGAGAGAAGAAAGAGGTCTGAAGTGCCGAGAGCGATGGCTGTGGGCCTGTTACTCGATCCCACCTTCTTAAAAAGCTGCACATGTTCCATTTGTGTCAGCAGCTATTTATCGCTGACATGTGCTCGCGTGCGTTCCAGTTCTCTGCCCACCTCCATCCCGTGGACACTCGGCCCCCCTGCGCTCTGACAGTCTAATGTTCGCATGGAATGTAACTTGAAGTGCCCCCCGCCCCCGGGGCTCTCCCTAGCGAGCCTCTGACCGCCTGGACCTTGATGAGAGCCTGGCTGCCCGAGCAGAACTGCCACGCAGAAACGGCCCGCGATCTGGCCGCTGCTCCCAGCCTCCGGGAGTGCCGCTGCTTTGCTTTAAAGAGACACTTTCCCCCCGCAGCCTGACTCCTGGAACACAGGTTTGAGAGCAGTCACTTTTTGAAATCTTTTCTTAGATGCCCCATAAAGGTCTCACCTTTCTGTTCCTAAATAAGAACAAGGAGTCATCTTTTCTGAAAACCAGCCCTACTATGCCCCTCCTTTAAACATGAAGGGTGCCTTTAAGTTCGAATTCACAAGTGGCATTCTGAGATGGGACAGACCAAAACTAAAGACCTTGCCGGCTTCTTAAGCAAGGAAAAAAAAAAAACCTAAGAACTAGGACCAGTTTTTTAAATAACAATACAGAACGGTGTCGTTTCCTTCGGCTATTAAGATCCTATTACACTTGAATTGAAACGGAAGAAAAAACTTCATATTCTATGCCTTCATTTGGCTTAGCTGTTATAATTTATCATGTGGGTTTATATGTTGTAACTCTTAACACGTCTCAAAAAAAATCATATTTAAATTCCTGGTGATATTCGCACTAACACGGCGTTTCTCCCCTACGTCATTATTTCAAGCTTTATAAAATCGCCTGGGTAAAAGGAACAGTTACAGAACGGGGTCCCAGCCATTTAAATCCTAGACAAAGCACACAGCCAGGAGGTCCATCTGAGTCTAGAGAGGAAGGCCAGGGCTCCTGTCCCCTGGAGGGCTTTTCTGTTGCAACTAATCACAACTCAACTAAGATCACATACACAGGCAGCGTCCATCATCATCAGTTACTTATGAATCTACCTAACATTTAAACGAGGAGAAAAGAGTTAGCCTTCATTCTAACCAACATCAAATAAGCCCTATCCTTCAGGACATTTCAAAACCTTCAGGTCACCTCTGACATGTCAGGACAGCGAGGTTCCAGCCACTTGTCTTGCCTTTGTGCAGCTTGGTTAACGCAGCCCTGTGGAGACCGGCTTTCATGGCTGCAGGTCTTTGATCTGTGTCCTTGGTCAGACCCTGCACTCCTGACCAGACCAACCAAACCTGGCCACCAAGGCAAGACTCAAATCTATCGCCAACGTGTGCATAATGACCCAGAGCCCAGGCCTGGCTGTTGAACGCCTGCCATTGTGGAAAGTGCCCCGTTAACTCGAATAAAACAGTCGTAATTTTATGGCATGTTTTACCGAATCGGTCCAGCATGTTGGCACTGGAAGGCTCGGCTCGGAAATGTGTCTGGTGTCTTAACCTACAGACTTCTGGTGACTCTTAAAACAGGTTCAAAGATGGGGAAAACCATTAGACTAAAGAGTTCTACCTGAAGTAGGACTGAAATTATAGCTACAGCACTTGATTTTGAGCATTGTAGAATTTTGCACAGAGACATGAGCATAATACCAATACTTTAAAGATCACCAACATTTGCATCTTTTTTAAAGTTTTGAGAAATGACATTGACTTGCGTGTGTATATATATATACATATATATATTGCGTATATATATATATATATAAGCAATGGAGCAATGCTCTAGAAGTCCAGGTAACATATAAACTATATTCAGGTCTAATTTTACTTTCCATATTGCTGCCACAAAATAAGGTGAATGAGAATATTAGTTGTGCCGGCTTGCAAAGATGTTTTAAAATCACACAGTGCCTGACAACAACCAAAGCCAACCCAGGCCTTCTTTTGGCATCGTGAGTCGGGGACTTTTAGCCAACACTTGACTCATCTGACTATTTGTCTAGACCAGGGGTCTGCTCACGTTTCCTTCAGAGACCCAGAGAGATGATGTTTAGGGTGCGCTGCCCATACAGTGTCGCAACTACTCCACTCGGCGGTTGTAGCATGGACGCAGCCACAGACAATACGGAAACGAATGAGCGTGGCTGTGTGCCTGTAAAACCTTATTTCCACAAGCAGATGGCCGGTCCTCGGGCTGGAGTTAGCCAACCCCTGGCCTAGACTCCTCTGCCGCTACTCTACAGCTTTTTTCTCGTTTCTTGGGCACCCGGGAGCTCAAAAGAGCACCATTTCATGGTTCATGACAAGCTAATACCAGGGGAGTGTAGAACCATGTCTCTATATTTACATCAGGATCTTCTTGCTTATATACACAAGATCCAATGGTAGCTGTGAGGTCATTACTGGTGCTGAAGTCTCTCTCTTACAGGCCGCGGTTCTTTTGCGTGTGTACCACCACCTCTATTGGAAAAGTCTCCCCAGCCCCACTCTCCAACTTGCTAACAGCGTCAGAAATGACTGGTAGTTACCTGTCCTGTGGCAGAGTGAAGCAGAAGTCTTTCCCACCTGGTTGTTTTCCGTCTAAATGTCTGCCCTGTACTGCTTTTGCTACCTTGAATCTCTTGGAAAAACACACAATAAAAAACTTCTCAGGCAATGACTCAGAAGGTGTTTTTCAACCCCCATTCCCCCCCCCCACACACACACACACACACACACACTATTTCATGGCAGGGAAAGAAAGGGAAAGAAACAGATCTCGTAGATTAGTACAATTTAGTGCTTTTGAAGAGTCATGGTGATAATGTGCACGCTTTGCTCCAAAAGAAGCAGGTGCAACAGTGGACATGACTCAGTGGATGGAAACAGTGAGCCAAATGCCTGAAGCCGAGAACCCCGCTCTGTGCTTCCCGCTTCCAAGCGCACAGCTCATCCAGGAACGGTGACTGCACGCTCAGCCCCACCGACAGCGGCTCGGTGCTCGCCAGTTCCATAGTGACCGTCTGCACATCAATGCGGCTGTTACTAAAACCAACTTTCCCAACAGCCTTCCAGACCGCTTCCCTTAAGCGCTGTGGCTGGTTCGAGAGGCAGCCCTTGAACTGGGCAGCCGACTGCAAACCTGATCCATGTGTCTGGCACCGGCGGAAATGAGTGCTTTAGTGAGGTTGCTAGATAAACACACACTTTTTTGAGCTTTGAGGGCCACGATCTCAGATCTGAACCTAACAGGACGGTGTGGGGAATTTAGAATTGTTACAGTCGTCAATCGTCTGGCTCTGGTGGTCAGCTTGAAGCAAAAATAAAGTTAAATTTCACACATAAACAGTCTCCACGCAAATATAGACCTTCTCGGGCGATTAAACCTCGTGTTTTAGCAATTGTGGTAAACGAAGGGAAGAGCCTTCCCATCCAGGAATTCTTGAATCCATCCCCTTTCTCACCAGCCTCGGGGTCCCCCACAGCAGGCTGTCCTGTGCCAGCAGAGAAAATCAGTTACAGGGCGAGTGGCCTGTCCAAGGAAACATTCCTTGTTGCTAGAAAGGCGGGAACTCCTCCCGTGCTGGTCCTCACTGCGAGTTAATGAGTCCCAACCACCATGTCGAAGAGGAACATCAGTTCCAATAGCCATGCTTCGGGGTCCCCGGCCGGGGCCAGCTGCTGCCGGGAGTTTCATGGCGCTCCAGGCGGAGGCGAGATCGCCTCCGAGCTCTAGGAAAGCAACTCCTCCCCGGGCGCTGGCAAGTGCGGCACCGAGAGGGAGCCCAGCTGTTCCCGGGGACCGGCCTGCGTGGACCGAAGCCACTTTGCACATTTGAGCTGCTGCTCTCCAGACGCGCGCTAATCCTCCAGCGCCCGCGCACCCCGCTTTGGGAGCCTTTTCCTTCATGGTTCTAATTTGAAAACCAACCTCAGAAATGTGCTGAGGTTTGGGCTCCCCTCCTTCCCTCCAAAGCACCTCACCTAAACCCTCCAAGCACCAGACACGAACAAGGAAATGAATCAGCTCAAGGACTCTTGGTCCAGGGACGCGCAGCTGGAGTGATCTGCCTGGTGATAGACCACTCACCCGGTTACCCCATGCCTCCGGCTGAGCACGGGTTCATTCATTCGCTCAAGCATCACTGATCGCGTGGAGTTATTAGGAATCTAAAAAGGAATGAGAATTGAAGACCAGCTCTTCGGGAGCTTACTGTCTGGCCAGAGAAACGGCGGCTTCGTCTACTGAGCCCTCGCTACATGCCAGGCGGCGGGCCGAGTCGTTTAGCTGTGCCGCTCACTTAATCCAGACAGTTTCTCTATCGGGAGAAGGGTCCCTTCCTTGCAGATTTAAAAACCGGGGCAAAGGCAAGAAGGGCACCTATGGCGCAACATGTAAGAAAGCTCAGCCTGGGTGGCAAGGGGGCTGGCCCTGCGGTCGCAGGCCCCGGAGAGTGGCCCCTCGCTGCCTCCTGGCCCTGGCAGGGGAGTTCAGGGACTTGGCAAGTGGCAGAGCTGGGAGCTGAACCCGGAACTGCTAACTCTGTAACCCACACTCCCACTACAAGTCCCAACAGATCAGCACTGCACAGTAGAAGCACAAGGATGCCTTACGTGACTGGAGTAAGGGCACGGAAGCCCACAGGGGAGAGAGGTCACTTCTGGCTGGGGGCCGCCTTCGAGGGAATTGGGGATTATAGTGAATTAAATGTTGCCCTCCCTTCCTCCCCCCCCCCCAAAAAAAGATATGTCCACCGCTGAATCCCCAGAACCTATAATATGACTTTATTTGGAAAAGGGGGCTTCCCAGATGTAACTGAGTTAGGGGTCTTGAGATAGCTAGTATCCTGGGTTATCTGAGTGACTCCTAAACTCATCGACGAGTGTCCTTATAAGAGACAGAAGAGGAAACAGAGGAGAAAGCCACATGAGACCGAGTCATGAAGGCAAAGCCGCGGGATGCCTGGAGCCATCAGAACTGGAGGGGGTGGATGAGCCTCCCTTAGAGCCTTTGGAGGGGCCAACCCCGCCGACCCCTAATTTCCACTCTGTCGTCTAGAACGGAGGGAGATTTCTGCGGGTTTAAGGCAGCAGGTTTGTAGCGCTTCGCCGCCGCAGGAGTACAGGTTGAGCTGGTCTCGGAAGCCCAGGTAGAACTTGGACGTGGGAGGAAGCCCAGGAGAGAAAGAGGAACTTCGCAGCCTGAAATAAACTCAGGGAGAGTCTGTATCCATGTCGCAAGAGAAAGATGCTGCTAGGACGAGGAGGGCGGCTGCAAGGCCCTGAGTGGCCAGCTCTGATGGAGACTCCGGAGTCTGGGCTGGGATTGGGGAGGCAAATGGTGGCATGACTTCACTTTGGGGCGGGAATGGGGGCCTAGGACACAATCCGTGTCTTTTCCAAAACTCACCCGTCAGAATCTAATGACATTTGCCTTCTATCTTTCTGAGTCATTCACTATCGATATCAGATGGCGTAATAAACGTTCAGCAAATCATGGCTGAGTTCGAGTTGTGCGTTTCTGGCCCATCACTTCCTACCAGAAACATCCCACCTGGGCCACAGGCTGGGCAGTGACCGCTGAGACAGCCAGGCAGAGAGCTCTGCCCAGAGAAGGACGTGCTGGCCACCCAGAGGCCCACTCTCCGGGAGACGTGGAGAGCGGCACGCAGTCGGGAGTGAACTGAAGTCCCATGGCTCAGAGCTGCGGGTGGGAGGGGACAGCTAAGGGGTACAGCCACGTCAGCAATGACCTGATGTGAGAAGGAAGAGGAATCGTGGCAGCAAAGAGCTCCGAGCCTTGGGCAGGGGAAGGGGAAGAGAGCAGATGGCACAGAGAAGCAAAGACTCAGGGCGGCACCCACCAGGAGAGCCGCTGCGACTGAGCGCCCAGGGCAGGCTGGGAATCGTAGCAAACCCCTCCCTTGTCCAGCGTTGGAGAGACTGGCCGTGCCCGGCCCCCAATGGGGCCTTGTTTTCACAGCGCTCACTGGGTTTCCAAAGGACGTCAGGTGGGGCTGCGAGCTCAGAAGGGGAAGACAGCCCGTTTGAGAAAGGGAGGGACGCGCTATGGAGAAGTCAGATCACAGTGCAGAACTGTTCGCACCTACGGGGCAGTCTGGCGACAAGGGACAGAAGAAGGTGGGCCCACGGAGAGGACCAGGAGGCCCTGGTGGGTCCCAAGCTTCCTCTCATGAGCACCCCAGCCCGTTCATCATCCTCAGAAGCGCAGGAATGCTGACACGTGGTCATTTTGGAGGCCAAGACGCTGCTGAGGGACAGGGGAGAGGAAGAAAGAGGTGCTGACAGGGACAGGGGACATCATGTGGAGAGAGAGGTCAGTCACCGAGCCACAGGGAACCAGAGAGCTCAGCAGCAAGAGAGCCCCTTCTGCACCTCGAGCTCCATGCCGCGCCCTCCAGGGAGGGCAGCCCTGAGCAGGCGGCCGAAGGTGTCGCCAGAGGAATGACCTGGTGGCACTTGAGGGCGGCGTCTCCTAGCAGTGCCCCCCAGGCTCCTGCCACACGCCCAGGCCCAACCAGGAATCCCAGGGCTAGTTGGCTCTGCCCTCGGGAAGGTTCGGGCATCCTTCCAGCCCGGGTGCGCCATGGCCACCTTCTCGCTTTGGCCTGAGGTCTTCAGGACACAAGTAGGGACACACACACACACACACACACACACACCCCCAAGTCCTCAGCTGCTGCTGGGAAGCCAGCGTTGGCAGGGGCAGACATCTGTCCCCGGGCACGGCGCTCCCCTCCCTGGCCACCCGTGGGCCTCTCTGTAAAGCAAACCACCTGCTCCTGGCCTCCCAGGCCCCAGCCTTCCACGGTCTCCACCAGGAAGCCCCGTCCAAACCACGGAGGAGGAGTGACAGCCCTGGCACCGCCCGCTCCTGTTTGTGTTCACTGAGGCGTCTGCGGAATCCAGACTCCTTCTCCACCCAAAGCAGGGAGAGTCAAGACAGCACCAAATAAAAATAGATTCCTGGCGGCTCCTGCAGCTCAGCCCCGCGGCTCCCGCGCAGGCGGGTGGGGGCTGCCCTGACATCTGGACAGAGGCCGCCTCCAAGGGACCCTGAGAGGGACTTTCTCCCCCGGGTCCCTCTTCCCCTTCCTTCTGCTGAGTGGAGGTTTGTTGGATCGGGGAGTCTGCTGGGTTCCTTTCCAAACCTCCGTCTTCCAGCCCTGGGTAGAGGCGACAGATGGCGGGCGCTTGCTTCCCGGCCCGCTGGCCTCGGAGGAAGGTGCCGGGGAAGAGCAGGTGACAGAACATAAACTGACTGTGGGAAGAGGGCCCCGCGGCCTCCTCCCCTTCATGGCTCCTTCCGAGCAACATGCACAAAGTCGATGGCACAGGCACAGGTGGCAAGACAGAAACAGCTCCCGAGCGGGCTGAGCGGAAGGGCCAGGCAGCAGGCCTAGCAACGCACGTGCGGTCACGTCCCTTTGCAAACCGCGGGGCAGTGTGTTTGGAGCAAAGGTCTGACTAGGGAACCCCTTCCTGGGGGGCCGGGGACAGGTCTTTGCTGCAAATGGGTATTTGGCCCTTCACCCGGCCCACGTGCTGGGCATGTGCTCTCTGTCCAGCAGCAGCGAGAACAGCCTCCCTCTCCTGACGGGTTGCTGCACCACATAATAAAGTTAGTAATGAGACAAGCGCGTATGCCACGGCCGGGGA